AAGACTAGACAATCTATTTCTTAGAGGACTGGGAGCCTGCGGTGAAAGCGCCTCAATGCCTCGCACAAAGAACTTGGAACGAACTTCAAAAGCCACCAAGGATAGAGAGGAGAAGAGCACTGAGGCTGAATCCGACTACAAAACATCTCGAGTGACTGGTAGCCAGTACCAGTTGCAGAACAGCTTTGCAAGAAGATCTTTGAAAGACAGGCAATCAAGACCTTGGAAGCAGCACAAGGAAGGAGAAGTCTAAAGAAGTACCGCAGGGACCTTTTCGACTATTGTGTTCCGCTAACAACATTTTTAAACGAAGAGGGGACCCGCACATCTTCCCGATATAAGATGGAATCGATCACGAAGAGATTCCACACCAATCTCTTTAGCTTGTCAAACCGCGTTATCCCCACTGAGGAAATACCACCAAGGATTCTACCTGCTGAATTACGCGCCGCAATCAAGACCATGAAGGCAGCCACGGCTCCGGGACCGGACCATGTTTCTTCTTACGAGCTGGATAACACCGCTTAGACGAGATACTTGCGGAATATTTAACGTCCTGCCTTCAAAAGGAAAGGATCCCCGACCAGTGGAGAACGTCTTCATAAGAAGGGTGGTAGGGAGGATCTTTGGAACTACCGTCCAATATGCCTGCTAAGCTTGCTTTACAAGCTCTTTACGAAGATTATTCTTGTTCGCATATTAGAAACACTGAATGAAGCCCAACCTGTAAAACAAGCTGGATTTCACCGGATTCAGCTGCGTGAATCACTCCAGACGGTTTCGAGGATTATCAAGGTTTGCCGGGAGTATCGCCTACCTCTCGTTTTTACCTTCGTTGACTATGAAAAACCGTCTGACAGCATCGAGATTAATGCCATACTGTCAGCGCTCGTCGATCAAGGGGTGGACCCATCTTACGTGAGGACATTGCTCGACTGCTACAGGAACTGCCCTACAACGGTACAGCTTTTCCATCGTCCCCTTAACATACCAGTCTCGAAGGGGGTTCGACAAGTCGACACCGTGTCGCCAAAGCTGTTTACCGCCGCATTGCAGTGAGTGATGAATTCACTGGATTAAAACGAGAGAGGTATACGAGTTGATGGGAGATTCCTCTCGACCCTACCTTTTGCGGACGACATTGTTTTCTCCTCGAAAAGTATCACTGAAGCGGAGACGATGTTGAAAGGGCTATGAAGTAGAGAAGCAGATTGCGAGTCAATCGAAAGAAGACTCCGTTCATGAAGAACGCTTTTTGCGAGGATCAGGAAATGGAATCAGAAGGCTCTCCAATCGCGAAGACGTCTTCTTACGTATATCCCGGGCATTTGAA